GAGAGGAGGGGAGGGGAGAGGATAGAATATAACCGTGTCACTATCAATTAATTGAAAACAAACACTTATGAAAGATATGACTTTCATATCAAAATGGAATTGAATTGCTAGTGCTTCATATAGAGAGGGCATTGGTATTCAAGCACAACTAAAAAAAGATAAATATTAATTGAGCCTGTCTGATAGGCAATCCACTAATATTTTTTGAAATTGTTAAAATGCCTGACATAACAGTTTATAACTTCAGGTCTATCCTAAGGAAATAAAGATATAGGCAGTGATTAATCTGTCAAGAATCTAACTACTATCTATTCATCCAATAAAAAAATTATAGGAAAGAGCTTAAATTATCAACAATCACTATGATGCTTAAGTAAACTATGGTAAAACATATGCCAAAATATTGGATGTACTTTTAAATGTTATATTATAAAGAATAATATTTTATTGCCTTGGGTAAACATTTATTATCTATTAACTGAAAATAAGCTAGTTACTGGCACATACTAATTTTTAATGCAAAAAATGGAATGGTTTGTGCTTAAAAAAAAGTAAGTACCCATTTTTAAAGGCGTAAGAACTGACTTTCCCAAAAGTCCAAAAAGTGCTCTTCTCCACCTCATTTTGTAGACAGAGGAATTATTATTTTTTTTTGGACAGAGGAATTATTTTCTCCTCCAACAATTTATAAGACAATATCCAAATGTCAAGCAAGCAGAATTTCTTCTGAGCAAAGCTGCTTTAAACAGGAAATTTTCAAGTATTAAATGTTCTCTTTTCTCAGTGTAGATAAGCCTAACTCTGAGAAGGCAAAAGACTCTGGCAGTACCTGGCTCTCAACAATAGGCAATAGACAAACTGTTAATTCCATCTGTACCTCTTGAAAAAAAAAAAAAAGACAAAGTATTACATGATGAAAGTAGGGAGTCCCAGGCTACAAATAAATGTTTTTTTCCTGAGGGTCAGCTAATTTCAGCATTCAGATTCTAATTTTTTGGATTACCTACAAGGTGCTGTATAGAATCACGGTTGATACTACATGTCAATGACATGGAACAATGTTAACAACCAAGTGTACAACCCTTCACAACGTATTCCTTGTTAAGAGATGTTGCTTCCAGAATTCTTGCTTACTGGTCAAAGCTCTAAATACCTTCTACTTCATCTGGAGGACTTAGTTCAAATAATTTTCTCATCTTTCCTAAATTAAGTATCTCCTGTCTCTTCTCTCACTTTGTTTGTGAATGTAAACAAATAAATACGACATTCCTAATATATTCTTCTACAGTGGTTTTCAACCATACCTGCATATTGAAAATATCTAGGAAACTGTAAAACAAATACCAATGCAAATAATCTATACCATCAGAAAGCAGGCCAGCTGTTTCCTGGAGGTGAAAAGATCACAAAGAACATAAGCAAACTTTACACTATAGATGTATTAATTATTTTAATTGTGGTAATAGTTTTACAAGTGTAAACATATGTCAAACATTAAACTGCACAGTTTAAGTATGTACAGGTCATTATATACCAATTATACTCAAAAAAGCTCTTGTTAAGCAAATACTTATGTTTGGGTCCCATCCTGCCCTCATTGGAACAGAGGTGAGTTCCTTCTGGAAATAAAAATTCTTAAAGATTGTGAATGTGGGGGCGGGGGGAGGCTGGGAAGGGATGTGAAGGGTAAACAAAGGAGGAGGCTACAATGCTTGATAAGAAATGTACTCATTATCTTGCCCATGTAATTGTAACCCCTCTGTACAGTATGTTCACAATAAAAAAAAAAGATTGTGAATGTGTAGCTAATAATGAGAACCATTGATCTACAAATGTCATCTTCTTCTTCACTCAGTTTTCTTGAAAAGCTCCACTCAAGCTCATCTACTTTTATCATCTCCCATTCTTTTTTTTTTTTTTTTTTTTTTGCGGGTCATGAGGCCTGAACTCTGGGTCTGGGAGCTGTCCCTCAGCTCTTCAGCTCAAGGCTAGCACTCTACCACTGGAGCCACAGCGCCACTTCCGGCTTTTTCTGCTTATGTGGTGCTGAGGAATCAAACTCAGGGCCTCATGCTTGCAAGGCATGCACTCTACCGCTGATCTACCTTCCCAGCCCCCTATTCTTTTTCTATCTTCTGAAAACTGGTTCTGAACTACCCCTCAGCTCAAACTGTACCTGGTAAAGTCACCAGTGAATTCCTGACTGTTACAGGAGTCTTCTCCTTACTTAATATTGCATTACCATGTTCAAAATCGCTGGTTTGTTCCTCCTCCAGTTGAAAATCTCTTTACCCTTAGCAATTCTCCTGCTGTTCATCCAACCTTTCTAACTAATAATTTTTCAGATGTATGCATCTACCTATTTCTGTTATTTATCAGTTTGTTCTCACGCTGTTGCATTTATCATGCTAAAAACTTTCCCTAAGTCAAAACCAAATCATCTGGAGGTTGAATGTCTCTTCTCTCCTGATTTTCTTTGTACATTCCACATCCATAGGTACAAACATCTCTCAGTATCTACCCTGACAGTCGAATTGATTCTTCAAGTTCAAAAAATAAAACTTAATCATCTTCCTTCAACACATGGTTTGCTCATTTCCAATCAACAACAAAGTCATATCATCAAAGACTTTCTTCCTTTCTTCCCATCAGTGATTAGGAACCATCATATTTACCTAACTCTGCCAGAATAAATCTAAAATATAAATCATAAATGGTTGTTCATCCATCATCTTTAATTCAATCCCTTTAAGCTAAGGTTCTGACCCTCTATCTCCTGCCTTACCCTCATCTTTTATCTTTTCCCTATTAACTCTGAATTAAGCCATGTCAAAGTCAATTATACTGATTTTGTCAACTAACACTGTTAACTGACACTTAATGTCAGCAAACTCTAACTGCAATGGTTTCTGTCCATCCTTTGCCTTCTTATTATGCCATCTTCTTGGAACGTTACTCACTTACCTCTTATACTTCAAAACTCCACCTACATCCAAAGTGAGCTAACCATCTCTTATCCTAAGCATACTGCTGCTCACATTTAGTACATGGTATTATAAATGTTACCTTACTGTGATGTTACAAACACCTTGTACTTAAGACAACTAATTCCTTAAAGAGAGATGTCATTCATTGCTCTATCTATAGTATCTACTCAGATTGGAAAAATACATAGTCAATTTATGTTGGAAATAATGTCAAATATTTACAAAATGTAAACCTAATATCCCCAAAAAGGGCTTGAAAACTAAAATAAAAAAAATGTTTAAAGACTTCTAAGGATTCATTATAAAATAAATATTATGAAGCAAGGTGTTGAATAAAAAAGGTAAAACTTTAACTCCCTGTCAAAATATACCATTACTCTTAAAAAATGCAAACAAGAGCAGATCTCATAAAAGAGAAAAGAGGCAGGGAAAGGTGGTGCAGCAGGAACAAAACACTGACTGCCCATTCCTCATCTGGTGTCTGTAACCACATGCTGTTAATGCTGATTGCTAAGAGGATTTCTAATCCTTCTCTGGAAATAATTTTAATAAGTTAAATAAGGGGCAAAACGAGCTAACTCCAGAGTTTCTTTTTCTAAATATGTGACTGTCTTCTCCCTTGCCACTCTGTTGAAATGAAGATTTGGATATCTGGCTTTGAAGCTACTCTTGATCAAGGAGCTCTTAAAAATTGCTCTTTGTTATCTTTCCATTCCAAAAATATGGTGCATTCCAATATTCATCTTGTAAACCTCGAAATTTATTAACTTAAGGAGGGAAACAAGGCTTACAAATGATGGGGGAAGGGCTGTGGATGCTAGCAACAGAACATTCTCATGGTAAACATACCTCCGGGGCCTGTCACTTGGACTCAAGGTTACACCAATCCTGAGAAACTTTATGCAGATAAGATTTTAAAAACTGAAAACATCAAACTATAAAGTGTCACGTGCACCAAAACGAGGTGACATAGCTGCTCCCAACCGCCTTGGGTAACCCAAAGGACAAAGAATCTGGCCCTACTGCCTGTAGTGGAGTCAGAGGTAAGTCAGAGTAAGTAGTAGCTGCTAGTGGAACAACTCCCCCTACCTGAAGAGCCAGCGGCTGCCAACGTGTGATAGTGTATCAGAGAACGGATTCGGTGCGGTAGGAAACCACTAGGGTCACATTAAAATCTTTCAGGAATGTCTGAACTCTGGGGTACAGAACACACATGTTCACACCCAAGCGTGCAAACTTGTGTGTGTGTGTGTGTGTGTGTGTGTGTGTGTGTGTGTGTGTGCGGGGGGGAGGGGCATCTTTTAATAACAATTCTTTTCAGCTGAAACCCTGATGATTCTCGAGTATGCTTTAAAAAAAAAAAAAAAATCAGCCTCGGGAGAAGAATAATTCATGGAACGAAGCGGGCAGGGGCTGGACGAGCAAGTCTCTGGTATCGTACTCCACCAAGGAAGGAATCTGCGGGCTCAGCCTCTCCTCCCCGCTCGGGACCACGGAGGACCGGGGGGGGGGGGGGGGCAGTGACCATTTTGGCCACCAGAGTGGACGGATGGCGGTGCCTGGCGAGGGTGGGAGAGGCCGGAGCACCGGCTGAGACGGGCGGGGGAGGGGTGCAGGGGTCCCTCCCTAGGCCGACCCCGCGAAGGGGCCCCGGACCGCGGCCCCCGGGTCACGCCCGCAGGCTGGACCGCTCCTCGCGGCGAAGGAGAGACCCGAGCCCGCGCCCGAAGCTGCCGCCCTCCAGGCGGCTCGCGGGCTGCGCCCAACTTCGGGGCCAGCAGCCGCCGGCCGCAGCCCACCCATCCGGTCCCGACGCCCCCCGCGCCCAGCGCCGCCCCGCGCCCACCCGCGCCGCCTCGCGCGGGAGCCGTTACCCCCAACGAAGCCGCGGCTCCAGGGACAAAGTCCGGTCCGCTACCCGCCGTCGCCGCACCTCGGCTCCTCCCTGACAAAAAAGTTCTCGGTCACCGGCCGCCCGGGGGGCCCGGCGTGAGCCGCTCAGCCCGCGCTTACCAGAGCAGCTCCGGGAGCTACAGCGGCAGAACCTCGACCTGTGCGCCTCACGAACGACCGCGACGGCGGCTGCTCGGCTTTCTCTCAGTAGCAGCACTCCCAGCCCCTCTTCTTCCTAACAGAACGGGTCCTGGCGAGCCATCTTCCCCCTCCTCTCACTGACTGACAAGCCAGCCCCGAGAGCTGCCACTGCCGCCAGCCACTCTGACAGGCACGACCAGGGACCCGTCCCCAAGCAGCCAACCACCACCGCCCCACGCCAGTTCAGCCTATTGCCGCCCCCCGGGGTGGAACCAGAACAACTTCTCCGCCAATGAGAAGCTACCTCTGCTGGGTCTGGGGCGGAGTCATGAAGAGGGCGGGAGGGGGACTTGAGTGGGCGTGGTCTTAGCAATGGGCGTGGCCGGGCTTTCAGAGATGATGATTGACTGTAGGGTTTGTGGTAACCTCAAGGCTACAGTGATCAAAGCAGATCTCTAATTTAGACTCCAAATTCTGAAATCATGTGGCCACCTCTGCAGAAATAAGCCCGACTGGGTGATGTGAAATGTAATCAAGAAGACAAAACAAATTGGCATTTATTTACTGGGCAGAAGGGTTTACTTCTTAGTAATTCAATTCACAAGAATTTGCTGAGAGGGAAATATACATTTTTGCTAATGATAATAAAAAAATGTTTAAATCCTAATTATATCATTGCTTTTGGCCATAACATTGACATTTTAAATAGATTTCAATAATTTCATTTTCATTAACCATTTTTTCTCTGTTTTCCATCTGTACCCTCAAACATGCATTGCATAGTGTGTATAAGTATTGGAACCTGACCTCATCTGAACCAGCTCCCCCATATGTCCTCACCTAAAAGAAAAGTCATTGTAGTATGATACATAGTATGTAGTATCACACATAGTATGATAAATGGGAAGGCTTTCTGTAAAAGCACTAAGTGATCTTTTCAAACACTCCAAACGAGAGGGAGAGGAAGAGGGAGAGGGAGGGAGGAGAGAGAGAGAGGGAGAGACAGAGAGAGAATGACATCAAAAGGGTATAAAATTTCAGAGAAGATTCCTAAAAAGACAGAAGCCTCCAAGATGATTATGAAGACTTAAAAGAAAATGATAGAACCAAGGTTCAATGAGCAAGGAGAATGAAGGGCAAGAAAGATTGTGTTTAAGCAAGTTGAACTTCATAAGAAAGAAGAGTGAGTCATTCCTGAAAAGATAAATAGAGGCAGTTGTGCTATGACACCTGTGATCCCAGTTACTCATGAGGCTGCTGCAAGAGGGTTGCAAATTTGAGGCAAGCTTGGACAATTTAGTGAAACCTTGTGTGTAGGAAAAATTAAAGAACTGGGGGTGTGCTTCAGTGGTAGAACTAGCATGTAAAAAGAGCTCTGGATCTAATGTTCAGTATCAAAAAAAATTTAATGATTTTTCTAGGGAAAAGGGAGAGCAATATGGAAGAACAGGAGTGATTGGTTAGCCCTAAACAGTGTTGAGATGAAACCTAAAAAGTGTCAGGGGTTTGTGTAAAATATGTAGACGATCACCAACAGTGCTTTCTGCAAAAGAGAAGGGGATATACACGAGTAACACATAGTTACTGACATCGGTCATGTGGGCTACTGATGTATTAGCCAGAGTATCTGGTGGTAGGAAACCCAGTCAGGACCAGGAGCTGAAGAGCTAAACCATGCTTGTGGAAATGGGAATGGAAGACAGAAGGAAATATTTATTTCCTGAACTTTGCAAGGTTCTTCATTTGTAAAAGAGAAAACTGAAGATTACAGCATGTACAACTAGATAATGAACAGGTGGAAAGCTAAGCAGAGATTAATCATTTAATATAATAGTAGAAGAGATAACTGTGCAGAATTTTCTTGACTGATAGTTCAAATAATTTTCTAGCAGAGGGAGTAAGAACCTCCAGTCGAGCCTACTAATTTAAGGTGGGCAGAGAAGCCTTTATAAAAAAGATTTAAAACTGAGCTGGATCCTGAAAACTAAGGAGAAATTTGAGTCAGAAAAACTGATGAAGGGAACTTCTGAAATATCTGTGGATAGTAATGTACCTTGCGTGTGGGCACAACTATTCCGAAGGAAAATATTATTTCCTTTAACTTCATGGTTTCTTACCATCTCATTAAAATCACTTAGAATGCTTTCCAAAAATATTACTGCTCAAACCACATGCCACATCAAATCATAATATTGAGAAGAGGGGAAGGGACTGAATATATGGATCTTTTTAAGGCTTTCCAATTGTGATAATGTACAAGAAAGATTAAGATCAGGGCTTGTCTTTTGTAACATTTTACTAACACATAGGATGGATCCAGTAAAGAGAAGCTAAAATCTCCTAAGCACATTTATAGATAATGTTTTCTTCCAGCAAGAAGACAGGAAGCAGTTTGTTGCCTGACTTCACTTCCTGTTTTTTAGTAGTAAGACAATAGAAAAATTGTCTCCTTCTAAGAGTAAAACCAACGTACGCATTCATGTTTGCAATCTACTTTCTATCATAATTTATATGAAAATGAAATAATTTCTGACAATAACAGTTTTTAGGTAAGTGCTACACATAATCATATTTTAATTGCGAAATACCAGGAAAATGCCTAAGAGAACATTCTGTTTCAAAAGGAAATGCTTTTAACCTACTTTATTAAAAGCCAGCATATTCTATCCCTTTCCTGTCCTCCTTTGTTAGTCTTTAACAGCTGAATACACATGTCTACATTAACTGAAAAAATTAACTTACTTTCTTGAACGTAAGTTTATAAAAAGTCCAGTTGATCATAATGTGACATGAATATTTTCCCTATAATAAACTTTAGGAAAATTAGGGAAAATTAGCTCCAATATATTTTCATTTAAGTCAACTGGTAATGTGACTATTTAAAATGAAACAGAGAACTTCGTCTTGAAAAACAAAAAAATTTCAAGTATTAACTCTAGTGGTATATTAAACATATTAAAAGAAAAAAACTCCTTGGCACAGGCCAAAATTTTCTTAATAGAGACCCAGAAACACAACACATCAAAGAAAGGTTGGACAAATGGGATTGCAGGAAGTTTCAGAGCTTCTGTATGGCAAAGGACATAGCTAGCAAGTTCAATAGAAAGCCCACAGATTGGGAGAAGATCTTCACTAGCCATACAACAGACAAGGGTTTCATATCTAAAATATACCTGCAACTCAAAAAATTAAAGCTCCCAACAACAAATCCTCAAATAAACAACTGCCCAATAAATAGGTGGGCTAAAGACTTAAAGAGAAACTTCTCTGAAGAGGAAATAAGAATGGCCAATAGGCCCATGAAGAAATAAATGCTCAATCTCCCTAGCCATAAAAGAAATGCGAATCAACATTGAGATACCACCTGACCCCAATTAGAATGGCTATAATCAAGAACTCTAATAATAACAGATGCTGAAGGGGATGTGGACAGAAGGGAACCCTACTGCATTGTTGGTGGGAGTGTAAATATGTTCAACCACTTTGTAAAGCAGTATGGCGGTTCCTCAAAAGACTCCTCATAGAGTTCTCCTATGACCCAGCAATCCCACTTCTGGGCATTTACCCAAATGATCACAAACAAGACCATACTAAAGCTATCAGCACAACTATGTTTATTGCAGCATTATTTACCATAGCTAAGATATGGAACCAACCCAGATGCCCCTCAGTAGATGAATGGATCAAGAAAACGTGGTATATATACACAATGGAATTCTTTTTTTTTTTTTTTTTTTACACAATGGAATTCTATTCCTCCATCAGAAAGAATAACATTACCCCATTTGTTAGGAAATGGAAAGACTTGGAAAAAATTATACTAAGTGAAGTAAGCCAGGCCCAAAGAAACATAGGTCTCATGTTTTCCCTTATTTGTAATAACTAGTATATGTCTGAGACAAGCAGAAAAGGTCAGATAAGTTGATGTTAGGGGAAATGAACCCCAAGATAAGGATTCAAATGTTTTTTTACTTTCATGCGATTGTTTCTAACATATTTATAAGATGATTTCTTTGTTGTTTTGTATGTCCCTCCCCCACAGTATAACCCCTGCTTTCACTGTATTTGATGTTGGTATAATTTGTAGAGGGGAAGGGAAAAAACAAATCGTTTAAATAGGGATGCAGGTGGACCCATTACAACAATGAGATGTACAAGTTGTTATGTCGAAAAACGAACTTTACAACTTTGGCTGGGGGGGGCGAAGGGAATAGATAGGGGGGCGGGATATGGGAAGGGATGGGAAGGGGAAACAAAGGAGGAGGCAACAATGCTTGATAAGAAATGTACTCATTATCTTGCCCATGTAATTGTGATTCCTCTGTACGGTATTTTCATAATAATTTTTTTTAAAAAGATAATGTTAAGCGAAATGAGCACCAAGATAAGGACACAAGTGGTTTTTATCTTTCTTGCTATTGTTTCTAACGTATTTATAAGGTACCTCATGATTTTTGTGTGTGTGTGTTGCCTTGTATGCTCCTCCCCCACAGTATAACTCCTTTTTTCACTGTTTTGATGTTGGTATAATTTGGGGAGCAGAGGGGAAAAAACAAATTGTTTAAATAGGGATACAGGATGACCCATTGCAACAATGAGATGTACAAGACGCTAAGTCGAAAAGCGAACTTTACAATTTAGACAGGGGGTGGGGGGTGTGGGGAGGGTAGGGGAAGGAGTGTAGTGGTGGAGATGGGAGGGCAGGGATGGTAGGGAAAAAACAAAGAAAGGAAGAGGCAACAATGCTTGATAAGAAATGTACTCATTACCTTGCTCATGTGATTATAACCCCTCTGTACAGTATTTTCACAATAAAAAACTAACTTAAAAAATAAAATAAATTCAGAAATCTCTATTAAAAAAGAAAAGAAAGAATATGCCTAAAAGCTCATTGAAGGGCTTGTTATGCAAGTGTCCATTTTAAGAGAGCTACCCTGGCCAAAGCCCCCAGCTCAGGAAGCAAGAGTACCCAAACCATGTTGTATGGTGTACAGCTTCCTTTGTAGGCCCAGATTAAAAGGTGACAGGAACACTCCATCCCAACAGAGAGGGCAGTGACTACCTACACCCATTCCTTTTTAACTACTTTAATTGGAAATGGGAAGAGAAAAATCAGTAACCATATGGGAGCAAAAGCAAGTCAGGCAATACAAGGAAGACTTGAGAAGCACTCAGTGAAGA